GGAAGTTTCTGTGATATGACTGCCCTTGCACTGTTCACCATGTAAGAACTTATTCACTATGTAAGACCTTGTTCACCATGTAAGAACTTGTTTGTTATGCTTCAGAAGATTGGAGATTGTTGAGATATAGGCTTGGGGTTGATTAATGACTATGCATTGAGTCCCCTATACAGAATTTTATTGTTGTTAACAACCATTTGATCAATAAATGAGAGATGCCCTCTCAAAAAAAAAAAAAGTAAAATACAGATGGCCAACAGACATACGAAAAGAGGCTAATCACTAATCATCAGGGAAATGCAAATTGAAACCACAATGTTTACCACACAAGACAGAATGGCAAATAACAACACAACAAATAAGTATTGGTGAGGATGTGGAGAAAATAGAACCTTCGTTCACTGATGTGGGATTATAATTTGGTGCAGCCACTATGGAAAGCAGTATGGAGGTTTCTCAAAAGACTAACTGTAGAAATCCCATATGACCCAGCAATTCCACTTCTGGGGATTTACCTGAGGAAAACAAATCACCAATCTGAAGAGATAAATGCACCCTATGTTCATCAATGCATTATTTACAACAGCCAAAATATGGAAACAATCTAAATGACAATTGATAAGTAAATGAAAAAAACATGGTACATATATACAATGGAATACTACTACTCAGCAATAAAAAAGAATGAAATCTTTTCATTTGTGACAACATGGATGGACCTAGAAGATATTATGCTAAGTGAAATAAGTCAGACAGAAAGACAAAATACTTTATGATTTCACTTATATATGGAATCTAAAAAAACAAAAAAACTGAACAAAAAAATTAAAATAGACTCATAAACACCGAGAACAGACTAGTGGTTGCTGTAGAGGAGGTAGGTGGGGGGGAATGTGTGAAATACATGCAGGGAGAAAAAATTAGTGAGAATGTTTGATATCTTGATCTGGGCAATGGCTACATGAGTGTATATATGTAAAAATTCATCAAGGTGTACACTGAGATTTGTGCATTTTATTGTAAAAAAAAAAAAGGATCCCAATCTACATCATGGAAAAGTTTAGGTAAAAGCTAATAGTAAATAATATAAAATCCTATTCTAGTCCAAACTGCTCAGAACATAATCGGGACATTGTTTTAAAATTCTGTCTACTATCTATTCTAAAAGAGACAATAATTAAATAAAGTTAATTCAGAGGAAATCAATCCACCTGGAGACAGTGATTAAAGAAACCAGGATGTTTAGATTAGAAAGAGAAGATTTAGGGATATGAAATCTGCCATCAAATATTTCAAGAACTATCATAAAAAGTGGCAAAATAATAGAAAGATCTGAGGGCTTTTAACTCTGATACAGGTGGTACCATTACAGACATTAGGGCTCCTTTCAAACCTGAGAGTCTAGCAACTCTATAGCATGATTTTATAATAAATCAGAAAGGCTAGGTTCAGAACACCCAGGATCAATCTCTCTGGTTTCAAAGTCAAGGAACAGAGTGGAGCCCAAATTTCTAGGGCCAGTGCCGGCAGGCTTTCTGTAGTGGTCATTCTAAGGAGGGCATCCAGAGGACAACACAAAGGTTAGTGAACAAACAGGAAAGCTGGACAAATGTTGTGATGATGTTAAGACAGAACTAAAAAAAAAACAAAAAAGGCAACTAAAGAAGCCGAAAGTGAAGATGCCATAATCAGAGGAAGTAGAACAAAAGGGAAGTAAACTAATGGAGCTGGTGAGTGTGGCGGGATAACAGTGACAGAGCAAGAGTCAGGTTAGGAAAAGCACTAAGGATGATTTGTGCCTGGCACAGAGTAGGCACTCAACAAACCTAAGGCATCATTATTTACACCTGTGCCCTGATCCGCTGAGTTGGAATCAAGTACTCAAAATGGCCAGGGCATGGAGCAGATCATGGAGGACCTTAAATTTCACCTCAAGGAGAAGGAAGGAAGGAAGAGAGGGAGGGAGGAAGTTTTGCATCTGCTACTGGCAGTGCCAGAGAGACTGGGTTTCTAAAGGGGATAAGCCCAAAGGCCAATGGTTGAGCATAACAGAGGTGGCATGGAATCCTTCTTTTCTGGGGCCCTTTAGCATCTGATGGAGAGGAGGTCAGATGGATCCTCTCCTGTATCTTATAATAATATGATCAATGCACATTGATCTAAATGGCGAGGAAGGAATGAGGAGAAATTGGGATAGGCATTGCAATTCACCATCACTACCAGAAAAAAACCCTCATGATAAATCCATGGAGAGTAGCAGAGTTTCCTATTTTACCTTTGTTCATCTCTGAGTAATAAGCACAGGACAGGCCTAACAGGAATGGTCATCAACCAAACTGAATCGCTTCACCAGATATCCCATCTCCATTTAAAATGCATTTTGTTACACTTAATCAAACTCTCTAAAATGTAATGATAAACAGTAACATTATTGAATGTTAATAATGTTCAATAATGTTCACTGTTCCTAAGTACCTTACAGGTATTATCATGTTTGATCCCTTCACTGCCTGAGAAGGTGTGTAACCTGTCCCAGATTGTTTCAAATGGCCTTGACTCTGGCTGTCAGAGTCCCAAACCCATGGTTTTACAGTGTTCTACCCTGTCCACTTAGTTCTATTTCAGTGTTGGTCAAGGAGAACACTCTGAGACAAACTTCATGTGCAAGATTTCTGAAGCCCCCTGTTATGCTAAACTCAGCTAAGATAGTACCTTGACGCAACACAAATAAATGAAAAAAAATATTCCATGCCCATGGACTAGAAGAATTGATGTTATTAAAATGTCCATATACCCAAAGCAATCTACAGATTCAATATAATCCCTATCAAAATTCCAGAGGCATTTTTCACAGAAATAAAACAAATAATCCTAAGCTCTATATGGAGCTACAAAAGGTCCCTGAGAAAGAAGAACAAAGCTGGAGTCATCAATCCCTGATTTCAAACTATATTACAAAGCTATATTATTCCAAACAGTACAGTACTGGCATAAAAACATACACATACATTAGTGGAACAGAATATAGAGCCCAGAAATATTCCCATGCATATATAGTCAATTAATTTACAATAAATGAGCCAAGAATATACAATGGTGAAAGGAATAATCTCTTCGATAAAAATGTGTTTGGAACACTGGGCAGCCACCTATAAAAGAATGAAACTGACCACTATTTTAAACCATACACAAAAAATAACTGAATTGGATTGTACTTGAACATAAGACCTGACTGAAACTGTAAAACTCCTAGAAGAAAACATAGGTGATAACTATCTTGACATCAGGCTTGGCAATTTTTTGGCTTGGACACCAAAAGCAAAGGCAATAAAAGCAAAAACCAACAAATGGAACTATATCAAACGAAAAAGCTTCTGCACAGCAAAGAAAACATCAACAAATGAAAAGGCAACAATACCAAAAGCAAGAAAATATTTGCAAGTCATATTTTATCAAGAGGTTAATATCCAAGACATATGAAGAACTCATACAACTCAACACCAAAAAGAATCCAATCAAAAAATGGCAGACGACCTGAACATTTTTTCCCGAGAAAACATACAGATGGCCAAAAGGCACATGAAAAAGTGCTCAATATTACTAATCATCAGGGAAATACAGATCAAAACCACCATGAGATATTACATCACACTTGTCAGAATTGCTATTATCAAACAGGCAAGATATACCAACTGTTGGTGAGGATGTGGAGGAAAGGGAACCCTTATGCCCTTGTGTATTGTTGATGGGAATGTAAATGGGAGAAGCCACTGTGGAAAACAGTATGGAAGAAACGGAGAAAAGTAAAACTATCAATGGTCCAGCAGTTCCACTTCTGAATATTTATCCAAAGAAAGCAAATCACTAATCTGAAGTTATCTGCACTCCCATGTTCACTGAGGCACTACTTACAATTATAGCCAAGATACAGAAGCAAGTGCCCATCAATGGATGAATGGATAAAGAAAAAAAAATACACAAACACAATATGGAATATTATTTCACATACTAAGGAATAAAATCCTGCCACGTGTGACAACATGGACGGACCTTGAGGGCATTACACTAAGTGAAATATCAGAGAAAGTCAAACCGCATGCTCTCACTCATATTTGGAATCTAAACAAACAAACAAACAAACAAACAAAAAACCAAGCTCGTGGATACAGAGAACAGAGGGGGGTGGGGGCGGGCCGCAAAGAGTGTCAAAAGGTGCCAGGTCCCAGTTATAAAATAAGAGAGTCATGGGGGTGTGCACAGCACGGCAGCTATAGTTAGTAATACCGTAATGTATATTTGAAAGTTGCTAAGAGTGAATCTTAAAATTCCTTGCCACAAGTAAAAAAAGGCCCTTACCTCATAGGTGTCTCCCAGTCCGTTTCACGGTGAGAAATCCGGAGCCTCTCACGCGCCCGTTTCCACCCTGAGGATTAGAACAAGCACTCCAAGGGCTCAGTGCGCGCTGGGCCGGGCTTACGAAGAGCAGCGCGCCTGAGATCCGGGGAGCGGCCGGGCGCGGCGAGCCGCGGGGCCTTCGCCTGCGTGGGGCGGCCGCGGTCCGTCGGCAGCTGTCCTCCGGTCCCCTCCTGTCGCCCAAGCTGTCAAATGACAAAACAAAGGCGCTTCGCGAGTTTGACGGCCGTTGTTACAGACACACAATGCGCGGACGCCGGGCCGGGGCGCGTCCGCAGAGCGTTCGCAGCAGGCTCGGGGGTCGGCTGGCGCCCCGCGCTCCGGGCAGGTGAGCCCGAGGCCGCGGAGCTGCGGGACGGGGCCGCTACGGGCCTGCTGGTGGTGCACAGGTTTCCCTCTCGGTTGTCCTTTCTGCAAGCTGACTTGGGTTTGGGTTTGTGACGGGGGCCGACCTCCATTTTGTGAGTCCCTCATGTCAAAATCCGTATGATTAATTATCGAAATGTAAAATGGGGATAATTAAATGAGATCATGTTTGTGAACCTGTTGGGTACAAAGCACTGTCAAGTGCTCAGCAGAGAATTAACAGAAAATGAATTTCCCTCCAACACAAACTCTATGCCCATATCATTCCCATCTCCCCAGCACTGGTAGTCTCTATTCTCTCATGAATTTGCCCACTCTAGGTATCTCATGTAAGAGGAAGTATACATCACTTGTCATGTTGTGCTTGGTGTATTTCACTTGCCAGAATGTTTGCAAGGTTCATCCTCATAGCATGTACTGGAATTCCATTCCTTTTAAGGGCAGAATAATATTCCATTGTAGTGTAGACCACATTTTGATTATCAGTTCATCTGTTGATGGACACTTGGGCTGTTTCCATCTGTCTTAGTTCAGGCTACTTTAACAAAATACCATAGCCCTGGTAGCTAAAACAACAGGTATTTATTCCTCGCAGTTCTGGAAGCTGGGAAGTCCTAGATCAAGGTGCCCACAGACTCAGGTGAAGAGAGATGGGAAGGCTCTGGTCTCTTCAGTCTTCTTATAAAACACTAATCCCCTTAGGAGGCTCCACTCTCAAGACCTCAAACCTAATTACCTCCCAAAGACCAAACCTTGTAATGCCGTCACACTGTGGGTTAGGCTTCACCATATGAATTTTGTTGGGGACACAAACATTCACCTCATTAAGACCATCCTTTAGCTTAATATCCTTTTTAAAATAGCATTTTTTCCTGATTATTTAAGCAGACGTAATACAAACCACAAAATACAAAAATGAAAGTATAAGTAAGAATTTAAAATAAAACTCTAATTCCAAATGTCAATCATTGACATTTTACTTCCAATTTTCTTTGTAGAGCATGTATGTGTGTTTTACAAAAGCAGAACCATTGTTTATGTAGTCAAGTATCTATTCTTTTACACTGAACATTTTTATAACCATTTTCCATTGCATAAAATACCATTACACACATATCAAAATTCATTTTCCATTGTTGGATCTTTTAGGTTTGTTTTTTCCTTACTTTAAATACTACTAGAAATACACAATTTGGTCCACATTCCGTATCTTCCAAGCATGGACTCCTAGATGTTAATTCACATTTACACCAGCTGGATCATGTATCCCTAAGATGGTCCCTAATGGCCCCTGCCCCTGGAATTCACACCTGTGAGCAATCCCATCCCACACTGCACCAGGGTTGGTCTGTGAGACCACAAGCATATGGCAGAAGTGATGGTATTCCAGGTTAGGTTATAAAAAGATGGTGGCTTCTCTCTTGGGTGTGTGTGCACTCTAGTAATGTATATTTGAAAGTTGCTAAGAGTGAATCTTAAAATTCCTTGCCACAAGTAAAAAAAGGCCCTTACCTCATAGGTGTCTCCCAGTCCGTTTCACGGTGAGAAATCCGGAGCCTCTCACGCGCCCGTTTCCACCCTGAGGATTAGAACAAGCACTCCAAGGGCTCAGTGCGCGCTGGGCCGGGCTTACGAAGAGCAGCGCGCCTGAGATCCGGGGAGCGGCCGGGCGCGGCGAGCCGCGGGGCCTTCGCCTGCGTGGGGCGGCCGCGGTCCGTCGGCAGCTGTCCTCCGGTCCCCTCCTGTCGCCCAAGCTGTCAAATGACAAAACAAAGGCGCTTCGCGAGTTTGACGGCCGTTGTTACAGACACACAATGCGCGGACGCCGGGCCGGGGCGCGTCCGCAGAGCGTTCGCAGCAGGCTCGGGGGTCGGCTGGCGCCCCGCGCTCCGGGCAGGTGAGCCCGAGGCCGCGGAGCTGCGGGACGGGGCCGCTACGGGCCTGCTGGTGGTGCACAGGTTTCCCTCTCGGTTGTCCTTTCTGCAAGCTGACTTGGGTTTGGGTTTGTGACGGGGGCCGACCTCCATTTTGTGAGTCCCTCATGTCAAAATCCGTATGATTAATTATCGAAATGTAAAATGGGGATAATTAAATGAGATCATGTTTGTGAACCTGTTGGGTACAAAGCACTGTCAAGTGCTCAGCAGAGAATTAACAGAAAATGAATTTCCCTCCAACACAAACTCTATGCCCATATCATTCCCATCTCCCCAGCACTGGTAGTCTCTATTCTCTCATGAATTTGCCCACTCTAGGTATCTCATGTAAGAGGAAGTATACATCACTTGTCATGTTGTGCTTGGTGTATTTCACTTGCCAGAATGTTTGCAAGGTTCATCCTCATAGCATGTACTGGAATTCCATTCCTTTTAAGGGCAGAATAATATTCCATTGTAGTGTAGACCACATTTTGATTATCAGTTCATCTGTTGATGGACACTTGGGCTGTTTCCATCTGTCTTAGTTCAGGCTACTTTAACAAAATACCATAGCCCTGGTAGCTAAAACAACAGGTATTTATTCCTCGCAGTTCTGGAAGCTGGGAAGTCCTAGATCAAGGTGCCCACAGACTCAGGTGAAGAGAGATGGGAAGGCTCTGGTCTCTTCAGTCTTCTTATAAAACACTAATCCCCTTAGGAGGCTCCACTCTCAAGACCTCAAACCTAATTACCTCCCAAAGACCAAACCTTGTAATGCCGTCACACTGTGGGTTAGGCTTCACCATATGAATTTTGTTGGGGACACAAACATTCACCTCATTAAGACCATCCTTTAGCTTAATATCCTTTTTAAAATAGCATTTTTTCCTGATTATTTAAGCAGACGTAATACAAACCACAAAATACAAAAATGAAAGTATAAGTAAGAATTTAAAATAAAACTCTAATTCCAAATGTCAATCATTGACATTTTACTTCCAATTTTCTTTGTAGAGCATGTATGTGTGTTTTACAAAAGCAGAACCATTGTTTATGTAGTCAAGTATCTATTCTTTTACACTGAACATTTTTATAACCATTTTCCATTGCATAAAATACCATTACACACATATCAAAATTCATTTTCCATTGTTGGATCTTTTAGGTTTGTTTTTTCCTTACTTTAAATACTACTAGAAATACACAATTTGGTCCACATTCCGTATCTTCCAAGCATGGACTCCTAGATGTTAATTCACATTTACACCAGCTGGATCATGTATCCCTAAGATGGTCCCTAATGGCCCCTGCCCCTGGAATTCACACCTGTGAGCAATCCCATCCCACACTGCACCAGGGTTGGTCTGTGAGACCACAAGCATATGGCAGAAGTGATGGTATTCCAGGTTAGGTTATAAAAAGATGGTGGCTTCTCTCTTGGGTGTGTGTGCACTCTTTGTCATGGATAATTCAGTCTAGTTGTCTAAAATCAGCAGGGCAGGCAGTCTGGATGGGAAAATGCACTTGAAGCAGAAAGAGAAAGGACAAACTTGAACCTGCAAAAGTCTCTCACCCTCTCAAGTCTTCGCCTTGGACGATGCGGTGCCTGGAGAAGCTGGTACTAAAATGCCCCTGATCCAGGAGCTGATAAAGGTGAACACGGTCACTCCTTAGTTCTTTCCTAGAATTGCTGTGGGAATATAGGATATTACCTAAATTACTGAACTTATTTCCTCAGCATGTCATTAATCTCTCTGGCAATGGTTTAAGAATGACTATTTATAAAATATTCTATATATGTATGGGCTAAAAACTGGTGGTTCCTCACCACCAGCTGGGCAGTATGCAAATATGTGTGTGTGTGTGTGTGTTCATGTGCACATTGTGTGCCTGTTATAGAAAATTTAGGAAATACTGAAAAGTGTAAAGAAGAAAAATACACACAACTGCACTGTAACTTATTTAAGCATTCTTCTCTTGATGGTTCTTCAGGTTCCTTCTTGTTCCTCCATGGAACTGACCTCTCAGCTTCATGTTTTTGGGTGTTAAGAGGTATACCTTCCTAAAAATAGTATGGTTGAAACATCTCGTTCAAAGTAAAAAGCATGGTTCCTAAACCATGCCAAGGGTGGCAAAATAAAATCCACAAAAATGCCTTTCCCTTTTCTGGTCCATGACAGAACTTCATTCTGAGTATGTGTAACATATCTATGTATAGATATTATATACACACACACATGTAATTATATATATATATATATATTTCACTCCATTGTTCTTATGATTTCACCTATTTATGGCTGAGATGGAATTGTGATTCAAACTTCTTGATGGAAAAGTTATTAGGAAAAGTCTTTCACAACCAAGAACCTAAATAGTTTGGACTGTTTTTCAGATACTCATGTTAAGATTTATTTGTGTAAGAGAACTAAAGCTCATTTTAAAACCATCCTGTTAAAACAATCTTAAAAACAATCTAATACTAATCTAGAATATAACAATTTGAAATTCTACTTGACTGCTCATAAGAGAATCTAAAATTTAAGCCAAAGTTAGTATGAACCAGCATTAATTAAAATAATAGCAGGCATTTCAATTAGCAGCACCTAACTGGGACTCAACACTAAGCACCGCCCCCATAAGCAATGACCTGTGTTAGGTGCCATGGGGGTTATAAAGATGAGTTAATGAAACACATCATCTTTATCCTCCAGAGAACATAGGGGTGGGGGTGGGAAACAGAAGTAGAAGTTTAATGTAACAACAGAACAGGACAGAGACTGATTTTAGGAACCATGGGAATCTGGAAAGGTCTCACCAAGAGACAGAATTTGAGAGTCTTAAGAAAGGCCTCCGGGGAAGTTGGAGGGAACAGTATGAATAAAGCTCAGAGACAGGAAAATGAGGAGGGTGCCTGAGGGAAACATTTCAGCAGTGTTGAAAAGCGGAAGACAAGGCTGGAAATACAGACTGGAGCCATATCAGGGTAGGTCTTCAGTAACCGGAGAAAAGTTACGTATCTACCCTGTAAGCAGTGCGAGCCACTGGCGTTTGTTGAGGAAAGAGAAAATTCAGTCTTTGTTTTAAAAGATACTACATGGGTACCTACCAATTTATAAACAAATGGTCAGTACATACACTAGTTTCTAAATAATTCCTCATTTTAATATGTATCTCACATTGTTTCTTTTAGTAATCAACCATTCTTTGAAATTTTCCTAAAATCTATTGCATATTGATGATGAATCTGTCACTTGAGTGGTGTTTTCTGTTTATACCACTTTTGGATAGAAAGTCCTATTTAATTTTGTTTAAATGAATGAAATAAATCCAAAGTAAATGCATTATAAAAAATATTTTAATCCAAAAGTTTGAATATTGACATTTATTTACAATGGTATTTATTATTTCACTGTAATTTTTGTGTACAAAGAGGTATCTATGTACATAGAATTATCTACAGTTGCTTCTGTCCAACACACAAATCATGACTGTGTAGAAAAATGTTAACAGTTAAAACTGCTACAGCTCGAAATCATTCTGATTAAGTTAGATTCTGACAAATCTTCCTGGGGTTGAAAAATGCTGGTTAAGTTAGGTTACAAAGGGAGGCAAGTGTGTGCAATCCCCACTTCCTCCCATTTTCACACTCCCTTACTTAGCTGACCTGCACTCTGAGTAAAACCTGTACCTGAATTCTGGACAATTTCCTGAACAAGAGGCATTCTAAGTATAAGATGTTTGTTTTAGGCCTGTTATTAAGAGTCTAGAAGCTGAAGGTTTAACTTTGGGGTAGACTTTTTAAAGATATTGATGCTAAGGACCTATTTAATCATTTTTAGGACTGCCCACGTTGTTCTAATGGTAGTCAGGAAACTACCCAGTGAGATGCCTGAATACTGGTTTCCCTGGTGCTTTTAGTGAAGTTGCTTGTTAGCACCAGAAAACAATGATTGGCATCCTTGTTTTGACTAAGAAGGTAAGAGAGAACAATGGAGAACAGATCCATTAAGATCAACAAAATGATTCTGAATCCCTGTTTGCTACAGAAGAATTAAAAGGAAGTTTAAAAAAGCTTGGGGTAATAAAATAACCCACCAGTTTCTTGAAGGTTAAAGCAGCCAACAGGCTGCCTACCCTTTTCTAGATGAAAAAATTAAAGCTTGTGTAACTTTGTGATAGATACTGTTAGATGTAGCTTAATTAATTTTNCTTAATTAATTTACGTTAATTTTTTGTTCTTATAGAAAAATACAATCCATTTAGTGAGTTTCTAGATATAAATTATGGAGAAAAATAGACACTACCAGTTCCTAATGATCTCTGGAAATGATAGCTTTTGCCTGTGAAGATACACATACAGAATGTAGTATTTAACTTGAAAATGTATTTAATTCTTTGCTATCCCTTTTAATTTCTCAAGTGCCTAGCAATAAATGAGCTAATTATTACTGAGTAGTTGGGAAAAACTTTTGAGTCATTTTTCCATCCAAGAATGTCATTAAAGAAACATGTGGAATATCCTGTAGTACTATGAATACAAGATAACTGGAAATCAGTTTTACCTTTGAAACTACAAATGATTGGCAACTGTTTCCTTAATAGTTATTGCAGGAGTAGGTCCAACATGAGTCCAAATACAGCCCTTCTCTGGTCTGGTGGGAACTGTGGGAAATGGTGATGAACGTGACGTGACATACTCAGAAGGTGCATGACAGATAAATTCCAAGTATTCCATCTTCCTTGGAAGATCCTCCTCTGGTCCTGAAAGGCAGGCAACAGAGAGGTTAAACACCATTTCTGGATATACATACCATTTTTGTGAAAATTCCTAGACACTATGAGAAACCACTCTGGTGGTGACTTGACATCATTAGCCCTTGATACATGCATTACTCTGAAGTTACTCTCCATCGTTTTTTTCTACGACTCAATATAGAAAGGATTCTAAATATTCAGAATTATATAGTGTTTATTATATGCTTGCACTGTTCTAAGTACTGTACATATACCAATACTTTGAGTCGTCGAGACAATACTCTGAGGTAGGCACTGTTATTATGGCCATTTTACATATGAGGAAAACGAGGCTAAAGAGATTAAGGAACTTGCCAAGGCCACACAGCTAGTAAGTGGCTGGGCTGTGAACCCAGACAGTCTGGCTCCAGAGTTTGTGCTCTGAACCTCTCTGTTATGCTGCTCCCCTAGAATCTGAGGACTGGGAGGAGAATGTGGGAGTCTCTGCTGAGAATCCTGTCCCACAGATCAGGTAAATGAAAGTCTACTCTTCTACATACTTGCAACCAGAAGACTAAAACTGTTTGGTCATGTATCAAATCTGACATGTACAGAGAATAACACAGGCACATTATTTGTCCCTGAGCTCCCTTTGAAAAAAGCTTTTACATTTTTTCTCAGAATGTAAAAGTAATTCATGCCCATTGCAGAAGCAAAAATTCGGGGTAAAAATTTTGAATACTTTCAAAATTCTATTAATCAGCAACAACCTCTTGTGAATCTACATCAAAAACTGCACCACTTCTTTTTTCAGCCTTGAAATTAATATGAGTACAGTGGTTGCCATGGCAACCAAAAATGATAATATGTTTAAAGGTCTAGGATAATGTGGGCAACATGTAGAGGAATGCATACTGAGAATTTGTTAAGATTTTGGAAGTGAAAAAAGGGGATAGTTTCTTTATAAATTATTTCAAAGTAGATTTTTATAAGTAACTTAGTTCCGCAGCAAAATTATAGAGTTTAACCCTGGGTCACTCAGAAAAATCTCAACCATACTACTTTTTGTAGGTGCATAATGCCATAACTCAAAGTAACTGAGCACTACTCAAACCCCAGCTTGTAAGACATCGAGTTTCTATAAATCTCTCTTTTTAATACGTAACGAAGCTTACGTTTGTGATTAACTGAATTGTATTACCACCCCACTCTGAATTCGTACATTGAAGCACTAACCCGCAATATGATATTATTTGGAGACAGGGACTTTAAGGGGTTAATTAAGGTTACATGAGGTCATAAGGGTGGAGCCCTAATCTAATAGGATTGGTATTCGTGTAGAAGAAGAAGACATACAAAGTGTGTGCATGCGCAGAAGACACAGCAAGAAGACTACAAACTGTCCACAAGCCAGGAAGAGAGTTCTCACTAGAAACTGGTCACAGCAGCACCTTGATCTTGGACTTCCAGCTTCCTGAACTTTGAGAAAATAGTTGTTGAACCCACTCAGTCTGTGGTATTTTATTATGGCAGCCTGAGCAGACTAACACTGTTTTGCAAAATAATGGAGAATTAACTGGGTTCAAGAACCTGTACAATTGGTCAAACTCACCTATGATGTAGGACGCAGGATCAAACTGGTCCCTGGGGCTAGAGAGAGTAGGAATGAGCCACGTCAGTGCTGCACTCTTCTCGCAGTACTGGTCCTGGATGAAACCCCTGATCTGAGCATAGAAGGTTTTCCATCTTGTTCATCAATTACAGAAACAACATCTCCAATTTGGTAATACACTCCCTGGGGAAAACATAAGATAATCCCATATTTAAAATAAAATAAAACAGCGCCACAGTTATGGACTGATACTTAATATAAAAGCAATAGTTTTCAAAGTGGTCAATAAAAGGCCCTCAAGGTCTAATGCATCAATGTATATGTGGTTGATGCCAATTTTAAAGTTCATTTCTGAATAAAAAATTATATATGCATATGTACACAACAACTAGCATCTGGAGAAACCATTTGTCTATAAAAATGATTTGATATCAGAACAGTACTATCCCTACTTTTTTGGCTACAGTCATTGAGCTTTAGAAAGGTTAGGTGACCTAGTGAATGCTATGTAAGGCTGAGACTGCCATGAAGCTCCGACACCAGCTCAGCGGCCTCTCTCTGTACTACACTACAGGGCTTAGCTGGTGAAGCTGTACCCTACACACCTTCCTCCTCAGCCATCCATTAAGGTGAAGAGATGCCACAGATTCAAAACAAATGACACAACTTCTTTGATTATAATCAGGCTTCAGGATAAGTCTGCCCTCAAGCTCACTGGTGCCCATCTCTTCCCTCCCATCCACACTGATGTCCTCCCACAAGACAATTACTTGTACTTCTGGCACCCAGGGCTTCATGTCTTATCCTGGCTCTACTTCAGAGCCAACCAGCTGTGTTTAGTGTTGAGCTCTCTCTATGCCTGTCTCTGCTATGTGTTCTATGCCCTCTTCCCTGGGTCTTGAAATGGTAATGCTCTCTCTTTGATGTCCATATGGCTGATCTAGGGCATTCTGACGAGCAGATGTGACAGCTTTCCTGGTGGACCCTTTATCCAGCTGTCTATGGGTGCCTGTCACATCTGGATCACTATGGACAAGTATAGTCAACACGAGCCACAATCCACCACTTGTTGGTTCAAATCCATCATCAGCTCGTCCCTGCAGCCACAACTCTTAAGTTATTTACCAGGTAAAGTCTGCATTTATAGGTTGCTTTTTCTATGTAATTTTTATTCCCAAATTACACGATTATATTTTTCTTACACACGTAAAAAACAGAGCCTTGCGTTTCATTGGCATGTAAATATATCCTGAATGAATTTAAAACATGTAAGAGCATGAAAGCAGAACTACAAGGCGAAAACAATGTCTTAGTGAAAGACTCCAGTGGCAAGCAGAACCTGGCACGTGGTAGCTGTTTATTAGTATGTGCTGTAGTGTGTGTGTATATGTACATAGCACCAATCAGGACTAAGGCACTTGATCTAAGGAGTCCCCTCATTTTCAGGAAGGTTTCTGAATTTCTAGCAGAAAAGAAAAAAGGCAACACAATGTACTGCAGGTGTAACCAGACTGAATTCTTGGAGCTGTTCCACCACAGAAGTGCTCCTGGGAAGTCAATGAACTATTTTGGGTCTCTGGTGCCCACGCTGTTGGCAGTCATACCTGTGGCTTCTACTTAGCTCCTTCCTGCATCCCAGAACTGGGCTGTAGTTCAGCAGCTGGCAAGGACCTCTTAACCCCACCCACCCAGGTGCTGCCTGAAGGGGCACTGCTGGGACAGCCTCCGCAGTGCTGCACATCTGAGCGTTTCTGGAATATGTTGCTGCATTTTGTCCTTATTGTTTAATAAACATGGGTAAGTAGACAGCTGTTAAGAAATACTGGTAGTTGCAAAAAGTCCCACCTGTCTTTCAGTTGGGACATGTCTGGAAATCCACTAAGTCCTTAGCCAAAGTAGCTGCTTTTGGATTTAATCTGTACACGTGATGTTCAGTTTTGAAGGTAATGCACAGATTTGAAAGCATGATGATTCTAATTTCTAATATTCATTGAGTTCTTTCTCTGCTGTTTACCATACATGATCTCACTTGTCCCAATGAGGTAATTCCAATTTATGATCCCAATTTGATAGATGAAGAAACATTAGAGAGGTTGGTCATGGCCCAATCACTTGCCAGGGAGCCAGGAGCTGAGGTCTGAGCTTGGGCTCTGGCATCAGACTACCTCTCTTCATGACTTGTCAGCTATGTAACCTTTGACAATTCTCTGTGCCTCAATGTCCTCATTTATAAGATGGGGATAATAGTCCCAGTTCATGGAATAGATTGAATGAAATAAAGCATGTGAAATCCTTAGGGCCTGATACATAGCAAGTACATATTAACACTTGGGCTATTTTATTTATTAACAACAATGTGTGAAATGCTGGAAATGTAAGAGAGATGTTTGCCTGTACATAGACTGTTTTGGACCATACAGATTTTGGGCTAACAAAAAAAACGTACATGACAGGAGTAAAACACTTGACTATCTCAGTGTGGTCCATTTAGGTCAGCTATAAAGCAGGAATTCATACACTGTTTTCTAAGAGACAGTTTAGATCCCAGAACACCAAGCACTATTTAATGGCTGCTGCCTGAACCTGGCTTACCAGGCCTCAGAGGTCTTTTCCATGTTTCTATGTCATCTGCTTTCCTCAGGCTTGATTAAAAAATAATGCTATGTTACCTCTCTCACTGAGGTATCAGATGTTAGTGAGCTCTGACCCTAGAAACCTGACCTTCTCACTCTTACCAAACCGTATCGGATTCTCTCTCTCACCAAGGACTTACAGTAGGTGCTAATTCCCACTACTGCCCTTACAGGGATTTAGAATGTCTGTGCCTACTCTGTCCTCTAGACACCAGCGTTGACATCCTCTGCTAGTCTAAATCCCACTTCTGTTCTCTCCCCTCCATGCGTCACACTGACTAGTACGGCTCATTTTCATGGCTCCACCATACATTAGCATTTTAAGAACAATTCCCATAACCCACATTAAAAAATACTTAAGATCCTCATATTATATTTCAATAAACAGCTTTCCCGCCCACCTCAGCACCGGAAAAGATGTTCTGCACAGCCATGGGGGGAAATAGCTTAGAGGAGACCAAAAACATAATCACACCTTACAGAGAGTAGCAGAGCCCATCTGACTGATGCAGCATTTGGTAGCACATTATACAACAGCCCAGATGTTCTTTCAGGAACTCTACAGATGCTTACCTTGTAGAAGATTGATTCTGCAGTGATTATGGTAGAAACAGACTCAGGAGCTTTGATGGGCTATGAAAAACAAAATTTAAAAATATTAGCACATTCATAGTGTGTATGTGTATATACTGTGTACAGGCATTTTTCCAGCCATATGAGAGTTTATAATTTGAGAGATACTAAATTTGAGAGATGCATATTATGACTCATATTGTAGGTAAGATGCATTTTTTTGGTGACAGGAACTACAATAAAAAGATAAATGATCTTCTGAATGTTGTGGCAAAGCAGTCTATTTCCACTTCTATTTCTGCTACTATTAGCTTAAAAATTGCTGAGAACCCAAGGACAAGCTTCTGATTATACCACTGAGATCTGACATAAACCTTCTCAGAGCTTTAGTACACATTAGCATTCTAGTTATAAAAATATACTGGCTCTAATGGCCTGAGAATGACAGAAGTTAAAGCAATAAAAAGTGTGTAGGTGAAAAATTAGAAAAGTGTCTTCTTGAAGACATTTTCCATTTCAACCATGGAACTAAGCTATGATACTCAGTATCATCAGAAGCAATTTTTTAACAAGGCTGAACTAAGGCTAAAAGAAACTTTCTTGTGAGTTCTTAATAATTTGCTGCCACCACATTGAAATCACTTCCTAAGCTGCAATACACACTTTTACGGCACCACACAGAAACTAGACCTCCCCAAAAGTCTTGGTATCATCCTTGAAGAGGTTGCTATATACTGAAATAACCACAGAGAATATAGTCTACCACTTAAAACATATTTAAATGATACAACTATAATCAAATGAATGTTTACTTAACATGTTTTATCTAGTCAATGAATGCCTCATTTAAAGGAAACTAAATTTCAAAAATCTCAAATAAATTAGGGGTACTAGTCTCAACAAGAAAAGAATCCAGTCTGCACAAGAATATACTGCAAGTGCCCCTTCATGTTTAACTAATGAATATGCCCAACTTCAGAAATGCCTTTACTGATTAAGTAGAGCATTTCTATTCTGAAAGAACCATTCCGAGGTTTAAAATAGTCTACAATGCATTGTCCACTGTGTTTGACCACTGTCCCCTGATGTTTACAAAAATAAAGGAAACTTACTGCAACAAAAATGTGCTTTCAGCTACCCCCAGCACAAGTCTTTCAACAATCTATTTTCTTATAGAAGAGATCGAGGTTTAGCAAAAACTATGACTCATATTGTAGGTGATGCATTTTCTGGGGCTATAACAAACTAATGTGGAAATGAATTCCAGCATTACATTATTCAGATCTTGAAACAATGTAAAAAAACTTTTCTTCCTAGTGTACCTGACCATACCAAGAGCGATAATCACACCTCATCCGCTGCATGGAGAACCCAATAAAAGCAGTTTGTTTCCTTTACACTCATATTTTATACTTGCCCAAGAAAAAAAAGAAAAAGGGCATTATTAACTTTATAAACAGTAAGCATCCTGTAACAGAGCTCACTCCCTTTCAGGAAGTCTGGATCACTCCCCAGAATACTGCAGAAGAGTTCCCAAAAGCAGAGTAGAAGTTCAATGGTGAGAGATGAAGGCAGTGGCAGGACACACTACACACACAATGCCATGACTGAAAGACACACTGTCCACAATTATCTTACATTTTTTAATTTAAAAATATGTCTTCTGCCTTTTCCTTTAGTGGAAACTTTTTTTTCAGCAGCTGGAGCAGATTTGTATTTAGTGTTTCTGAGCCGAGCAGACCTCCTGTGAATTTCCTGCTTACTCTGTTACATAAACAATTAAGGAACAAAAAAGAGAAAGAAGTAAAAAGTGTAGAAAGCTTGCTGCCCCAAAACAACCATCTTACAAGGACCCTAGAGTATGCACTTTAAAAGGACACTTACTAAAAATTAAGTAAGAGTGTGTCAATCACAGGAAATGGGCTAATTAAAACGGGAAGGGCCCTGGGCAGGCATCTCCAGAGCTTCCAAAAATTTGAGCTACTTGCTACAGAGCAGGGGGCAAGGGTAGGGTAAGCCTAGGCCAAGGAATACTTATGCTGCCATTTCGAATTATGGCACGATTATCTTACTACCATGTCATAAAAATTACCTGTAATAGGGAGAGGTCTAGTAGCCTGACCCTGCTTACCTCTCTGTGTACACGTGTGTGTATTAAGATGTCTGGTTGGTACATCTAATATTATTACAATGAGGGAGGGCAATTCTGAAGGGTCTTTAATTTTCTGGCTCTTTTACACTTTCCATTTCTCACCATAACAAAAGGCGCTAGGAATGGGTCAAATCAATGAAGATCTTCTAGGTACGGGGTGGGAGGGGCCGGCCCGGCGGAGCAGGGCCGCGGCGATCCTGGAAGGCCCCCGCCTGCCTCCCTGCCCGTCCCTCCTCCGTCCACCTCCCGCCCGGTCAGCCTCCGCCGGCGGGAGGGGACGGAGGAGCTCACCTGCTTGCCGCCCCCGCCCCCGTTGCTCTGAGGAGGGGCGGCCGAGGTGCTAGCGAAGGGGGCCGCGCCGAAACCGCCGCTGCCGCCCCCAGTCCCGCCGGCCGCCCCTGAGCCGGCGCCCCCACCGCCCGTGCCGCCCCGGCCCGTGCAGTGGTTGCAGAGGATCTCCCCCTGCAGGCCCTTCTTCCACATGGAGGACGACGTGGTCTTGCAGACGCTGCAGGTGGGCTTCAGGCCCAGTGGCATCGTGGGCGGCTCGGGCGGCCCCCGCGGGCGCAGAGACACGGGAATGGCGACCGCCGGCCCTGGCCGCCCACTGGTCGGCCAGCCACTCGCAGCGACAGGAAGAGCGGCGCGGGCGCCGAGATGTCCACGCAGGGGCCGGGTCGCGGCCGCTGCCCCCTGGAGGCAGGAAGCGGGTTCCGCTCGCTGCGCGTCGGGGAGCAGCTCCGCGCGGCCAGAGGCGCCGAGAAGCGGGGGCGAAACGGGTCCTGGCGGCGCAGGCGAACGGGGGCCCCAACCAGAAAGCTTCCGGAAGTGGGCGTGGCCCATCTGACCGGAAGTGCTCCTCCCGAAAGCCCTCCTCGCTCCGGGTTCGGCTGCGGCCTATGGGGAACGCGCGTTGCGAACTCCTTGGCCTTGGGCGGGGATTGGCCGGTGAAACATAGGACGCCCAGTTAAATTTGAATTTCAGATAAGTAGCATTTTTTAAATATGATAGTATCCCGTGCAGTAGTCGTTTTTATCTTAAGTTCAAATTAAACTGAACACCCTGTATTTTTAGTTGCTATATCTGGCACTCTTACTCAGGATCCCTTTACATTTTTAAAAATTATGATTTAGACCCTCAGACGCTGTTGTTTTTAGAGGAATATCCATGGACAAGTACGTATTAGAGATTGAAAGAGTCATTTTAAAGCCCGAGAAGTCAGCACACGTTCGTTAGTGGTTAGGTGACAACGTCACATTTCCTGTAACCCTACACGGTATGCCAGTGAGAAAATGAGACTGGAGAAGACAAAAACTGGTTTGGCATCGTGGGGAAAGAGTTTTGACCCCAAAGACTCCCAGAAAGGGCCTCGGCAACCCCCTGGACCACATTGGAGAACAGCTGGCCTAGAACAAGGGCATTGAGAAGCCAGCGCCCCTCTATTAAAATCAATAGTCAGGACAGGCTTCCCCAGGGAGACGAGTAGAGCCTCACTTGGTAGAGGATGATTCCATACCTGTCTTCATAATCCTGGGTTGTGTAGACTTGATGATGTCCTTGGAGATATC